TCACATACATGTCAACATAACTGGATTGTTGCTTGAGATGACTGAGAATCTATCAGATATTTTCTTTTTTGTAAGCTAAACATACCGTTTTTTCTTTATTCATTGCCAAATATCAGATATTTGATTATTGGACAATTATAACATATAAAGCAAAAACACTAAACAAAAGAGTATCCCAAGATAAAGGTACTTGCCCCAAAGTATACCAGTGATTGCCTAGAATTTTCTGACATTGACCTTAGCATACCATAACACCAAAATAATAGTTTGGATAATGACAATAATATGAATAAAAACAAACATACCTGCTAGCAAAATACAAAGAGATAGTAAATAAAAAATACTTCGAAAGGTCACAAGTATTATGCAAAATTTCAAAGCTAACAAATCTCTGTTTTTCTCATTGGCAGATGAACAATAAATCGTTTTCATTCTATCAATTCTTTCTTGCTTGTATTTTTATCTTTCATTTTTCTTCTGAGACAAGTAAAATGTGGTTGATGAAAACATTTGTCAATTGTCTTCTTTTGGCTAGGTCATTAATAAATAGTTGTCTTTCTACCTGTTTTGAAGCAATCACATTAAATAACCTGATAAGAAGAAACAAACTCACAAAGCTTCTTGCATCCTGTTGGCTATTTTCTTAAGTAACCACTGAAGGAGGGTTATGGATTTGATGGCAAGAATGCCTTCAAGTAATTGCACCTATCAAATAATAAAGGACATAAGGTATTTATAGGTGATTATATTTTTAATTTAAATTGTATCGTAAGTGATGTACAGAGGGGTTACAGTTGCATAAGTAAGAAAATGAGTATATTTCTTCTTGAACAGTGTTACTCCCTCTCTCATTTCCTCCCACTCCCTTCATCTCTTCAAGTTACAAAGTTCTTTTCTAACATAGTGTCTAATGAGTATCACTGTTGAATTGGTTCATCCTTTTTCCCACTGTTTCTGTGATTCCTCTTACCTTCTCCAAATCAGATATACTAATATACAAGACAAAGGGAAAAGAAATCAAGAATATTGACAACAAGGAATAAACCAAAAGAGATAAAAGAAAGAACAAAACTTTAAATGGTACAACAACAGCAACAAAAAAAAAAAACCCTCTTCTTTCCATTTCTTGAAGTTCATTTCCATAAGCATCATTTTATATGGTCTTATGCATAGCATGTCACAACTAAGCCATTGTGATCCTCTCCTAAGAATATCCTCTTTTGTTCTCAGTATTCAAATACTTTAGAGTACTGTTTAAGTACTGTTAAGTTAATCCACTGGATTAACTGGTAGATTATTAGACATATTCTAGTTTTTATAAATGAGGGGAACTATGAAGCCTATGGTTCTTATTTCATGAGTATAATTTTTTCCCAGGTCTTTCCATTTCCTTATGAATGGGGCAATGTCATTCTTTCTGATGGAAACATAGCATTCTATTGTGTATAAATACCACATTTTCTTGATTCATTCATCCCCTGAGAAGCATCTGGGTTGATTTCCATATTTTAGCTATGGTAAATAATGCTACAGTGAACATGTTTTTTCTGCTGGTGTTAGTGTGGGCTGGATTGTGTTCACTTGGGTAAAACTGAAATTAGATCCATATATGTCACCCTACACCAGAATCAATTCCAAATGGATCAAAGGCCTCAATGTAAGACCAGATACCCTGAAAATATTACAGGAAAACCCATGACCAGAAAAGCCCATTTTTAGGAGACTAATACAATCTCCGTTAATCAGATCTCCTTTCGGGCCAAGATCAGTTTGTAAGATATTTTCCCCAGAGCTGTGTGCAAATCGTGATTTCAAGGTTCAGAAGGTGGCTGACTGCAACAGCCTAATGTGAGATGAGAGGCTTCCGGTTACCAATTAATGCAGTGTTTAGTATTAGCTCCTTGCTCTTGATCCCTACTCCTTAAATTTTCACTTATCGTTTTAGTGATTAGCATATTGCATAGCAAACATAATGAGTCTCATTCAGTAACCACAATAAAATTAAAATTATTAACATGGGAATCAAAGATTGAAAGGATTCTAGATCAGAGAGCTAAAAATGGAGAGAAAGGTCTCTTGAGTCCACACTTATGAAAATAATGATCTCTTAACTGGACAAATCCACCAAAATTCTCATATCTGTAGACCCTGGCTATGAAAAAAGAACACCTGACAATTTGCTCAGAAATTCATGCTTTCTGAAGTTAATAAGGTAGAGGTGCAAGCAGCTGCTGAACCAGCAAATATTCAAGGCTCCAAAGGAAAAGGAAACACTCCTACCTCCCCTAACAAGTAAAGCCCTGTCAGTTGCAGCCAGCTCAGCTTTTAGAGAAAGGAAGTGGAGCCCACAGACTAAGAAACTCTTGCGATTCTGACTGGGTTGTGGCACACTTGCTTCTTCTTCCTCTCCTTTATTTCTCTGGTGGTAAGCCTTGTTGATTCTGGATGAGGTTCACAGAATTCTTCATGTTCTGTTAACATGAAGATATATCATTTCAACTAACCTTGAGCCTACTTGACTCACAGACTTAAAGACATTCATCCCCAGGCCTTTACATCTTAAAAAATGAGTTGGAGCCAGGCCCTGGAGACTCAGCCTTTAATTCTAGCTACTCAGGAGGCTGAAATCTGAGGATCACGGTTTGAAGCCAGTTTGGGCAGGAAAGCCTGTGAGACTCTTATCTCCAATGAAGTACAAAAACAGCCAGGGGTAGAAGTAGAGCTGTTACTCAAGTGGTACAGCACCAGTCTTGAGCAAAATAAAATAAAACCCAGAGACAGGACCTAGGCCTTGAGTTCAACTCCCTAGACTGGCAGAAAAAAAAAAAAGAAAAGAAAGAGTTGGAGATAAATGTATTAAGTACACAAGATCTGAGTTAAAGCCAGGGTGAGGAAGGTAAAATTCATTTGTATCAATATGCTAGGCTTTTCACAAATAAAGCTTAAACTATTAAAGTTGGAGGGAAAAAAAACAAGATTTAAAATAAGTTCAGGAGATATTTATCAATCTGGTTTTATAAGCATTTCTGAGAATTGTGTGCTACTGAGAAATGAAACTGAAAGTTTGTATTCAATAACAGGAATCGGCCTGAATGCAGGAAATGACTGCAGAGTGAAAGCAGGTTTTTTCCTCCTTCATTAACTCATACACTTTCTGAGATCCCATCATGTTCAGGTAACGTGCTCTCACTTTGACAAACGCTCAGGTGTGTCAGACACAGACTCTATGATCTATGTACTCATAGCAATAATAGTCCAAGAACTTGTAAGGATAAGGAGAAAGGTCCTTCAGATCCATCAAGCATCATTAAGATAAACTAATAAAGATTAAACAGGAAGAAACAATGTATACACATTTGTTAATATACAAACCTGATAAAACAGAGCATGGGAAAAATAATAGATATATCCATTGGGTAAATGAAAAACTGACATATTTATATACTATAGAGGTTGGAGAGGTAATAGATACTTTTGTGTGTTTATAAATAACTACATATGAATAATGACTAAATGAATGATATCAAATACTGTCTCTTTGGGATTTATATTACCCAAGTAACAGAATCTTGCAAGGAAAGCCTATCCAGATACCCTTCTATTCCTAAGTCTTCTTTTCTGAGAAAAATACTGGGATTTCAACATGTGAGTAGAACGCAATTTTGCTCAGTTTCTGTAGCCGTGTCTAAATGCAGTTAAGAGGAATACCACAGAGAGCATCTCCTTTCACATAAAATTGTTGACCATATAAAAAAATCATATTCAGAGAATATCATTCGCTAAACTCCAGTAATTCTAAGATGGTAAAAGTCATAAGGAAAATCTCAGAGGCTCAAATTCAATCTTTAAAGTTTCACAGCTGGAGAAATCATCTTGGATGCTTCATCCTTATAGACTTGAACTTCAAAGTCAATTGAGCCCTACCAAGATAGAATTCACATGTAAACATCCACTTCAGACCAAACAATAGAGGAGATAAACATACATTATCTCATTTTATCCTCATGACTGTTAATGAGGAAAGACATCACTAATGCCAAAAAAAAAAAATGTTCATACAAAGTTTACTTGTTTCTCATTGTTTCAATTGTTCTTCTCATACCAAAGCCTTAAGGATATATAAAAAGTTTCAAGAAGTTTGAATTTATATTTTTCCCGTTTATCTTTCTAGTCTGAAATAAACTGACATAATGAATGTTAATGAAGGAAATTTTATAAAATTATTAATGTGACTGAGTTTGGTTGGTAGCTATATGGAACTTATGAATCTCAACAGAGGCAAGAGGGTTATAAAAATCTATAGAGGTAAACAAAGCAAATGATGTCCTGGAGTTCTGGGGGCTAGGAAGGTTGCACGTGGTTTGGAAGGCTGGAGGTTGGGCCCTCAGTGAACAGGGGTTATCTTGCTATGCAGGTAGCAGCCACCTATGGGTACTCTCTGGGCAGATGTCATACTCCTAGCATCTTGTTCCTGTGAGACCACCTTTCCCGTGTCCAAAGGGTAACATCCAATAAGAAACCTCTACCTGTGTCCTCACTTTTCTAACAGAGAAATAAATTACTCAGTCTCTGCAAAGCCTGCAAGTTCTTCCAACAACCAAGTTAAAATTTAACAAATAAATAGGTTTGGATGAGGTATTTTCATCTCTTCTCTGTAACTTGGGGATCTTGGACTCAAACCTACTCTGACTGGCTGGCACTAAAACATTGCTCCCTAGAACATAAACACAGCCAAAAAATAAGCTTGTATTAGTAAGACGCTATTTCAGACCCTTTATGCCCTCTGTTGCTCATGCTATTTTACTGAAAAAGTTGTTTAATAACACAACATTAACTTGAATAAGACAGCTCAGATATGTACATACTAATTTTTTATTCAATCATCACACATTAATTCAATATCCATATATTTAATGTGTTATGTTTGGAACTGAAGATATAAACAGGAGCATTAAAGAACCACCCCCAAAGGGGAGGAGAATTAGAAGGCTGTCCTTTGGGAGGTGCTCTGCTCTGAGGATAAAATCCAGCTCTTTCTCCAAGTCAGCAGCTAAATCTGAGCTGCAGCTGGCAGTCAGCAGCCCACCAGCTGTGGGGAAGACACCTGATCATCATACATTTCTCTCTGGAGCAGGCAAGCTGAAGATGAGCAATCGGCCATCAGGAGACAAGTAGGTGAAGTAGAAGGTGGGAAATGGGGTAGACAAATAACTACAGCCACAACCAAGAAACAAAATAGAAACAGAAACCACCGGTTGCTGGGAACAGTTGAAACACATAAAGATTATAAAATGCTAAAATTGCAAACATGAATTAAGCTATTCCAAAAAAGTAGTTAAACTGTGGGAGAAGGAGGACATAATCTAAACAGAAAATAAACAAATTAGATAATTTATTTTATTGACTCAAAATAAACCAAGATATTGGGAGATTTTATTTAAAAGAAGTGTGTCAGATATTAGCAGAGTAGTGTTGCAACAGGGACCCAAACATCAAATCAACAAGTATCTTAAGTGAAACAGAAGGGAAATTCTTTGAATTCTGTTCACAGGATGATAAGGCTGGGAAGTCAGCAATATGAAAGAGTTTAATGTTTGGTGCAGTTGATGAATACTTTGTAATTGAGTAGAAAGGAAGAATATTTCAGCTAACACTTTATGAGGCAAGAATGGGAAATGTTTAGTGTCTCAGACCATCTAGCTAGTCAGATAAGTTAAAAGAGACTTAGATTTCACCCAAGTCTTATGAAAAAGATTGCTTCTTTGTTCTGTGTTTTATACTGGGGCATGTGGTGAGTGTGTGTGTGTGTGTGTGCATGCGTGGGCATGTGTGTGAAAGAAAGAAAGGCAGAGAGACAGAGAAAGAGAAAGAAAAAGAGAGAGTCCTAGGGCTTAAACTCAGGGCCTAGGCACCGCCCCTGGGCTTACCTACTGTCCAAAGTCTAGAGCTCTGCCATTGAACCACAGCTACATTTTCAGCCCTGCTTCTGCTGCCTTGGAGGTGGGGGAAAGAGGGTGGGGGAAAGTGAGGCAGTGGGGGAAGGGAGGAAATGGCTCCACACCCCTCTTCTTGCTAATTTGCACACATTGGGGGCTCCAGACACATGCACTGCTGGGCCAGCCCTTTCTTATCCCTGCTCCCTGGCCCCGCCCTGCAAGGGGGTTGGCATGGACCCAGACTGTGGGAACAGAAGGTTCTGGGCCTTCTCCTCCCTCCTTCTGGACCCTTGCTTCCTCAGGCTGGACCTGGGGTTGCCCTTCCTGTAATGCATTCCTGCCTTGGCGCCCCTCCCCCACCACCCACCCTCTCACCAGCCTTGTTCTGAGCCCACTAAGGGGCCTCATCTCTCTTTACAGAAGTAGTTTTGTTCTGGAAATAAAGATTCTAGGACTTAAATTTAAAAAAATAAAAAATTTATGTGATGTAATATTCTAAGTCCAAAAATCAGCACCTCAAGAGGTAAGGTTGATGGCACTATCTGGTATCTAAATGTAGGAAATGAGATACATGCTTAGGAAAAGGTAAAAATGTAGTTACAAAAAATGAGTTTTTAAATAATTGCACTTGGAAATGATTAAACATCACTGTAAACATTTACACAGTGAGGACAAAGGTTATTCTTAGGAAAGGATCACAAGGGCTCAATAGCTATATATATATATATATATATATATATATATATATACATATATATATATATGTATATGTATATATATATATATATGCATATAAAATGATGCTTATCGAAATGAACTCCAAGAAATGGAAACAAGAGGGTCTGGGAAGGTGGCTCAGTGGTAGAGCGCTTGCCTTGCATGCATGAGACCCTGGGTTCGATTCCTCAGCACCACATAAGCAGAAAAAGCCAGAAGTGGAGCTGTGGCTTAAATGGTAGAGCATTAGCCTTGAGCTGAAGAGCTGAGTAACAGCACTCAGGCCCAGAATAAAGGCCCCACGACTGACACACACACACAAAAAAATATATATATAAAATTATTTATTTATATATATGTGTATATATATATAAAAAGAAATGGAAATAAGAGATTTTCTTTTTTTCTTTGGTTTATTCTCATTTGTTGCTGCTTTGTATTTCTTACCTTTGTCTTGTATTTAATTTTATCTGATTTGAGGCAGGGAAAGATAAGCAAAGGTGAGACAAAGAGGAAGCAATCTAGCAGTGATACTCACCAGACGCTATGTTGAAAGTGAACTATATAACTTGTAGGGTAGGAGATTCAGATGGGGAAAGACCAGAAAAAAATGAGGGACATATACCACTGTTCAAAAGGAAATGTACTTACCTATCTTATGTAATCCATGTGAACACCACTTTTACCCCCCCCCCCCAAAAAAATCGCATTTTTTAAATGATTGTTTTGAGAGGTCTTGAATGCCATATCAAAATTAATCATAAAAAAATCTATTAAATGGGAAATCAAGTTATTTAAATTTTATTTTCAGGATGTAAAGTGATAAATGAGCCACAAAAGGGAGAGGGAATGGATTTAAGAGCTACTTTTGCAATTCATATCTACTAATACAAAGTATTTGTCAGAAAAAGGAAAAGAGCTACAAGTCAATAGGGTAAAATAGAGTAGATATCCAACAGGAAGCAGTTATACTGAAAGAATGTGGAAAACTGATTCTTAGCAATCATTTCACCATTTCTCCAATTTAAAAATTAGATGGAATCTCCCATCAAAACTTTTCCTAGCCAGGTGCCCTAGGCCCACGCCTGTAATCCTAGCTGTTCAGGAGGCTGAGATATGAGGATCATGGTTCAAAGCCAGCCCAGGCAGGAAAAGTCCGGGAGATTCTTAGCTCCAATTAACCACTCAGAGAACCAGAAGTGGTGCTGTGGCTCAAGTGGTAGAGTGCTAGCGTTGAGCTGAAGAGCTGAGGGACAGCACCCCGGCCCAGAGTTCAAGCCCCATGACCAACAGCAACAACAAGAAAAGAATAAAAAGATACAATCTCAGAGGATTATTGTATCCAAGATCCCACAACTGGTAAAAAGTGAACATCAAATTTAGTCTAGCTTTCCTCCTATGACACTGTGTGTTCTCAGAGAAAAGAGATGACAAATAATTGTTGCATTTGTCTATTCAAACCAAAACTCTCACTTTCCTTGTCCCTGACAGGCAAAGAAATCTGGAAAATTATCTTCTTCTCTGTCCTTCATTTGAAATTAACAGTCATTCATAATTCTTTAAATTTCATTATTTCTAAATTTTATTTAAAAAAAACAAGCAACAGACAGCATCAGAAACAGAGGTAATCAGCATCTTATAGGCAATAGATGAGACAATCATTAACACCCCACTTATTCCTATCCCGCTAGAAAGGAAGATCCGACCTAAGATAACATGCAATCTGTGGGTGTACTTTTGAAAAATATATATAAAATAATTATGTCTTTTTAAAATTTATATCATATTCCTTTCCACAGCTATAAAAACTCTAGTTCCATGTAGTTCAATCCTTCCCTTTTTATTTTTTATACTTTTTTTTACTGTAAAGATACTGTACAAAAGGTTACAGTTACATGAGCAAGGTAATGAGGACATATCCTATCAAGCATTGTTACCTCCTCCTTTGTTTTTCCCCTACCATCCCTTCCCATTTTTATGTGTATTTTCAAAAGTATAACTTTACATATATTATGCCAGTTAGCATAGATTTAAAACTAATATATATACATATAAGTTATGTATAGTTATGTATAAGTTATGTATATATAAATATATATTATTATTCTGTTACATTAATATATGACATATATTACATTCATATATTGGAATATATTATATTTACTTATTTAAATATATTTTATATAATGTATAATATACAATAAATATATTTATATAAGTATATACTTATATTAATTATTTTAATTATTTATTATTTTAATTATTAATTATATTATTATATATTATTATAATATATTATATATACTATATATTATATACTATATATTATTATAATATTATATGTTATATATTATCATATATTAAATACATTATATATTTTGTATTTTATTTACATATTTATATATTATATAATTTATATATTAAATATATATTCATATATGTTTATATATTATATATTTTATTTTATATTTATTATGCATTTATATATTGAATGTTATATCATATATTATGTTATATTTATATTATATATTTTATATTTATGTTGTATAATATGTTATATATAAATATAAAATATTTTTACATATTATACAATATATTATATATTTATATATTATATAATATATCTTATTTAATTTTCAGTCTGTCATGGGGCTTGAACTCAGGGCCTGGGCCCTGTCCCTGAGCTTTTTTGCTCAAGGCTAGTGCTCTACCACTTTGAGCCACAGCTCCACTTTTAGTTTTTTTCTTTTTTATTGAAAAGATGATGAGCAAGGGAGTTATGGTGACATCAGTATGGTAATGAATACATTTGTTTTTAACCATTGTTTACCCCATCCCTCATTTTCTCCTGCTTATCTCTACCTATTCCCCCTCTCCCCAAGTTGTAAGGTTCATATCCAATGTAGTGTCAAGTATCAATTTTGCATTGGTTCACCCTTTGTCCTGCTGTTTCTGTGATTCCCTTTCCTTTCCACATATTAATTAATCTTATATACAAGACCAAATGTACAGAAAACTAAAAGAAATGAAAATTAAAAACTACATACAGGACAAAATAAGAACCTCTTGTTTCCATATCTTGGAGTTCATGTTGATACACTTTATTGTATATAGTCCTATGCACTAAGCAATTGAGTTATTGAGATCTCCTGTTAAGAATATCATAGACATATTTTAGTTCTTACAAATGAATGAAATCATGCAACCTACTTTTCTCTGGTCTTACTTCACTTAATATAATTTTTCCACGTTTTTTCATTTCTTTACGAATGGGGCAATGTCATTTTTTCTGGTAGAAGCATAGAACTCCATTGTGTATACATACCACAGCTTTATCCATTCATCTACTAAGGGGCATCTGGATTGTTCCATATCTTAACTATGGTAAATAATGCTGCAATGAACATGGTTGTAGTTGTAGCTTTAGTATAGCCTTGTTTGTGGTCATTTGGGTAAATGCCCTGGAATGATATTGCTGGATCATAGGAAACTCTATGTGTAGTCTTTTGAGGAACCTCCCACCAACAGTGTAGT